CCCGGTTTCTTTCTGCCATGCGGCACGGCTTGTGGGATCTTATTTCCCCGACCAGGGATTGAACCCATGCTTTTGGCAGTGAAACAGGAGTCTTAGACACTGGGCCACCAGGGAATTCCCTCTTTCTTTCTTTTAAATCAACTCTATTGAAGTATACTGTCAATAAAATAAAATGCACACAATTTAAATGTACAGTCCCTAGGATTTTGTCCAATGTCTATATCTGTGTATCCACCATCCCAATTGAGATACAGAACATTTCCATCACCCTAGAAAGTTCCCTTGTGCCCCTACACTCAGACAACCATTGATCTGATTTCTACCACCATATATTAGTTTTGTCTATTCTAGAACTTTATATAAATTGTACTTTTCTTTTTAATTTATTTATTTTTTAAAAATTATTTGGCTGTGTTGGATCTTCGTTGCTGCGTGCAGGTTTTCTCTAGTTGCGGTGAGCGGGGGCTACTCTTGTTGCAGAGCTCAGGCTCTAGGCACACAGCCTCAGTAGTTGTGGCTCAGGGGCTCTAGAGAGCAGGCTCAGTAGTTGTGGCGCACGGGCTTAGTTGCTCTGCGGCACGTGAAATCTTCCGGACCAGGGCTTGAACCCTTGTCCCTGCATTGGCAGGCGGATTCTTAACCACTGCGCCACCAGGGAAGCCCTAAGTTGTACTTTTCTTTTGGCTTGGCTTAGGTAGTTTTCTTTTCCATGCAGAAGCAAAAAAGATTCCTGTAATTTTTTGTATTTATGGTCTCATTTTTTATATTTAAATCTTTGATACATCTGAAATGTATTTTGGTGTGTGGTGTGAAAGGCACAGGTCTAATTTAAGTTCTTTTTCCCCAGAGAGCTACCCAGTTGTCTCAACATCATTTATTGCTACATGTATCTTTTTTCTCACTGATTCAAAATGCCACCTTTATCACATGTTAAATTCTCAAGTGTGTTTGTATCTCTTTCTGAACCTTCCCTTCTGTTCCTTTGATTTGTTTGTTCAAGTATCAATACAACACTGTTTTAACTGTGACTATATTATTTGTAAAAATATTATATTTTAGGATTTTCTGCTCTATCTCTTCAATGAGGTAAATTTTTCCAAGGTTCCTGTCCTGGTTATCTGTTACTGCATAACAAATTACCCTAACATTTAGCAGCTCGAAAATTTATCTCACAGGTTCTGAGACTCAGGAATGAGAGAAGTGTAGCTGGGGGTTCTGGCTCAAGGTGTCTGGTGAGGCTGTAGTTAAGCTCCCAGCTGGGGCTGCGGTCATCTCAAAACTCGGGCTGAGACGTTTGCTTCCAAGCCATGTGGTTTTTGGCAGCCCTCAGTTCCTTGCCACGTGGGTCTTGCCATATAGGGCTGCTCACGACATGGCAGCCAGGACTAATCCAAGAGGGAAAGAAAGAAACAGCAAGGGCCCAAGACGGAATGCTCAGTTTTATATATCCTAATCTCAGAAGTGACGTACCATGACTTCTGCCAAGCTGGGCATGATGTGGGAGGGAACTATACAAGGTAGTGAATGCCAGCCCCCAGGGGTCCCAGAGACCATCTCAGAGGCTGGCAACCACATTTCCAGTTTTGGCTGTCCTCTCTTTCCACATTATTCACTTTCTTGGAATATCTCATCCGTTTTATGAGGCTGCTTCTACCTATGATCTTCTGATTACTAACTTGCTCTCCGGAGTGCCAGAATGATTTATCCAATTGCCTGGGTACCTCCCCTGAAAAATCCCACAGGCATCTCTACGTGGCTTATCCTCTGCTCTCCTTGGGTTTGAGGTTGAGTCTCAAACCTCCTTCCATTTGACGTGTAGTGCTCTGCACTGCATTAATTTGATTCCTCTAATAGACTGTAAGTTTATTGAGGGTAGGGATTAGGCCTTCAGTGTTTTGATATTCTTGGTACCTAACACAGTGCTTAGTGTGAAGCAGGTGCTCATCAAATATTTGGACCCAGGTGACAGCTTGGGTAGTGGGCACCTGCAGCTCTGCAGCCATTAGTCCTGTATGGTGCCAGGGGGCCGATATAACAGTGAAGGCTTTAGGACTGAGGTCTATGGTCTCTTTTTGGTGCTGACTTTGTACTCAGCTCTGCGTCCCCAGCCAGCTGAGCCTATAGGCTGCCCGTCCTTTCATTCACTCCCCTCCACCCCCTGCCCAGTGTGGGGTCTGGAGCCTGCTTGGACCCACGGGTCTGTCTGCTTCTGTTGTGTGTGAGAGTCTGGGGACAGCTGGACTGGCAGGACTGGGTCATTGGTAAGTGGTCTGTGCAGTATTCTGCAGAATTTCACTCAGACAAGTACTTCCTACACTTTCCCCCTCCTGAGGCTTCCTCACCAGCTGTGTGGGGGAGGCCTTTTCTCACCTCCAACTTTCTTAATTCTAGGACTGTAAAGTCCATGAATCCTTGAGTTTTTCAGATAGAAACAGCAGTGCCTGAAACCCAGCCTGCTGCCTACTCACGTTCTCGCACTCAGCTGCAGGCTCCACGGCGGAGGGGCCCCTGACCAGTGCTCAGGACAGCCAGGAGCACAGCCAGGTGAGGCTGAGCTGACGCCGCCTAAGGGCAGGGATGCTGTGCCCAGGTTGGTGTTCGTGATGCCGGAACTGCCCACCTTCACTCCTGTTTACTTTTCGTGCTGGTGCTTCTTTCTGCTGGCCTCTGTCTGCAGCTCAGTCTTTTTTTTTTTTAGGCTGCACTGCGTCTTAGTTGTGGCACATGGGATCTTCGTTGCAGCATGCAGGATCTTTAGTTGCAACATGTGGGCTTCTTAGTTGCAGCATATGGACTCTTGGTTGCGGCATGCATGCGGGATCTAGTTCCCCAACCAGGGATCGAAACTGGCCCCCTGCATTGGGAGCTTGGAGTCTTACCCACTGGACCACCAGGGAAGTCCCTGCAGCTCAGTCTTGATTTCTTCTCTGATTGTCATAAAAAAGCTCGTGGGACTATCAGAGCCCTTAGGATCACCTAGCTCAACTTTTCTTACCAAGGTGCCAATGGAGCCAGAGAGGGGAACAGACACCCAAGATCACGCAGCTTCTGTTGACATCTCCCATGTGGCTTGCAGGATCTTAGTTCCTTGACCAGGGATTGAATCCAGATCCTCAGCAGTGAAAGCACGGAGTCCTAACCACTGGACCGCCGGGAATTCCCTCTCTTCCCTGATTTTCGATATTTCTAATGACTGTACGTCTCTCCCTAGTCTTTGTTTTCTTTCCTTTACCACTCTCTTATCTCTTTGGACCCAAGAGATAAGAGAAGGCCACCTACCTCAACATTGGGACTAGGTTGAGGTGTGTCCATTTGACTTCCCGTCTTCCACATTTGGGCATCTGAATTGACCAGCATGGAAAGGGGAATCAGAGTGGGCAGTGCCAGGTTCAGAGGCCACTCCAAGCTCCCAGGACCTGCATTCAACTCTGGCCCAGTTGACTGCTTCAAAGTAAAGATGAATGAGGGGAGAGGGTGCCAGAGCCTGGGCCTTTGGAAGCCACTCAATCTCAGGCCCTGGTCTAGGGGGACTTGAACAGGAAGGGGAACCAAAAGAGATAGACGAGGGCTTCCCTGGTGGCGCAGTGGTTGAGAGTCCGCCTGACGATGCAGGGGACACGGGTTTGGGCCCCGGTCCGGGAAGATCCTACATGCCGCGGAGCGGCTGGGCCCGTGAGCCATGGCCGCTGAGCCTGCGCGTCTGGAGTCTGTGCTCCGCAACGGGAGAGACCACAACAGTGAGAGGCCCGCATACCTCAAAAAAAAAAAAAAAAAAAAAGAGAGAGATAGATGAGGCCTGACCAGTCTCTCCGCACTTCACCTGCAATAGCCTGGATCTGCTTTTCCTTACAAGTAGGGCAGCTTTCCGGCAAACCACCTTACAGCAAGTGTTGTAGGACGCCGGCTTGCTGAGAGATGGGAACAGCTTCTCAGAGGTGCTATAACTCCAGCCTTCCAGCAGGGGATGTCCTGTCCCGACAAAATGCAAGTCTTCTTTTTCCTGCTGCCCTCCCAGCCAAAGAGACTGATTCCCCCGAAACTTGATGGGGTTAATCTGTGCTCACAGCTAGGGGGAGAGGAGTCCCCTGGGGGTCAGAATAGTGTTTAGAATCTGGTGTCCTGTTTAGGAAAGGTAAAACCATCAGGAGTTGAAATCCCTCATCCCTCTGAATAAAAGCCTGTAAATATGACCTTGCAGAGAAGAGAGAGAGCATGAGAGAGAGAGAGCAAACAGAGTGAAAGCAGCTGGGATAAAAAAGCAAGGAGACGTAGGACCTGCAAAGGGTGGTTTTGGAAATAGGGTACCAGAAGAGACATAAACTGAAAACAAAGGCTGTCCCTCCCAAAGCAGAGCAGTTGGTCACCTTCATTATGGCACTATGACACTGATACAGACTGATATTTCATCTGAAATTTCTCCACAATTCCTGAGCAGCACCCATTCTCTTATCATGTATAGATACCAACACCTAACTCCAGGGAACTGAGTTATGCAAAGGTTGCTAAGGAACGAGGGGAGATGCAGTAGGTACGGCAGGGGTTGCTTAGTAACCAGAGTCCCTTTGTGATGGAGTGGCCAGAGCAGGTGTGGAACTGATGAAGATCTGTGGACAGAGTCAGCTTACACCAGAGCCTCCTGAAAGGGCATGTCCGTTGGCCCCTGGGCCCAGAGCGGCCAGAGCCTGCCTCTCTTCAGCTCCCTGACACTGCCTTGCCCAAAAAGTACACCCCAAGTCCTTGAGTATCCTCAACAGTCCTTTGCTCCAACCATGCCTTCCCCACCTCCCTTGGCAGGAAGCTAATCAGATTGCTAGATTCAAGAAGGGGCAGGGCTCTCCAGCAGGCGAACGGGAATCTCACCACAGGGGAGGCAGGAGCCTCTGGGCTCACATTGACCTGGAGCTGGGAAATTTGGGGTTGGGCGGAAAGAGGGTCCCCTAGGCAAGCATCCCTGATGTATTTGCAGTTCACAGGGAAATGTCTTCCTCTCTGAGTCTCCCATGCCACTCTTCATCCTGCGCATAGCTAGGGTGGCACGCCTCTTCCCTTCCCAAGGGTGAGCTGGGTGCATCGGTCTCCACACAGCAGCCTGGCTTGGGGCTCCTTTGGCTGCCTGGGTTCCTCACAGCTGCCCTTCAGAGAGCTTCACTTCAGCACAGCCTGGAGGAGTCATCATGCAGGCATTCGGAACCAGTCAGGTTTTGCAACCAGGAGTCCTCCATTCTCTGTTCCCCAGGCACAGAGGTGGCCCTGCTCTCTCCCAAACACCATGGACACTCACACCCCTCTGCTTCTCCTCTCAGTCTGTGCCCTGGACCAGAGCACAGGCTACCTATCCCGCTGCTTCCCCCATCAGACCTCCCTTCACCTTCCAGGTCCTGTTTATCTGCAGCCTCCCTAGTGATGATTCTCCCAGCCTGAGCAGAATGAGCTGTGCACCCCTGTAATGTATTGGACTGACGAGCACCCCTGGACTCAGGCCCGGCAAGGCTCTGGGGCCCCAGAGAGGGAGCAAGTGGCACTGCCCTCAAGGAGCCCACTGAGCCTCTGCTTCCTCCACCATCTGGCAGGATGCTCCCAGGAAAACCTTTGTGGATTGAGCGTTTATACACGAAAACTTGTTGTTTCATACAAAGCCCTTTGCACAGAACATCTCTGAGAAAGTGTTTGAGACACTGGGAAGTTTCCTCCAAGAAGAGAACTGGGAGACTTAGTTTTTGAACTAGTTTTGAACCGCTTGAATTTAAAAATCTACCATGAGCAGATAATCTTTAATTTTTAAACATTTTGATGGTGAAATATAACAAATACATAAAAAGTATATATGTATGTATATATATATATGTATATATGTATGTATATATATATATGTATATATGTATGTATATATATATGTATATATGTATGTATATACATGTACATACGCAAGACACACATATCTTTTATTTTTCTTCTGGAGGTATATTCTTTTCGAAAATTTGAATTTATTTTTTAATTAAAACTTTTTTTTTTTTTTTTGCAGTACGCGGGCCTCTCACCGTTGTGGCCTCTCCCGTTGTGAAGCACAGGCTCCGGATGCGCAGGCTCAGCGGCCACGGCTCACGGGCCCAGCCGCTCCGCGGCATGTGGGATCTTCCCGGACCGGGGCACGAACCCGTGTCCCCTGCATCGGCAGGCGGACTCTCAACCACTGTGCCACCAGAGAAGCCCCCAATTAAAACCTTTTTTATTGAAGTATAGCTGATTTGCAATGTTTCAGGTGTACAGCAAAGTGATTCAGTTATATATATATCTATATGTGTATGCACATATAGATGTATATGTATTCTTTTTCAGATTCTTTTCCATTACAGGTTTTTCTTTTTTGGGGCTACGCTGTGAGGCATGCAGAACAATGCGGGATCCACATGAGGGATTCCCCGACCAGGGATCGAACCCACGCCCCCTGCAGTGGAAGTGCAGAGCCTTAACCACTGGACCACCAGGGGAGTCCCCATTACAGGTTATTACAATATATTGAATATAGCTCCCTATGCTATACAGTAGGTCCTTGCTGTTGACCTATGTTATGTATAGTAGTGTATGTCTGTTAATCCCCAATTCCTAATTTATCCCTGCCCCAAGGCACACATATCTTAGTGGACACCATGGAATCATACAATGGAACACAGACAGCACCCCAGAAACCCCTCGGTTTGCCACTCTCCAGTCATCCCCCCTCTTTTACCCTAGGAATATCCACTCTCCTGACTTTTGTGGTAATTACTGCCTTGCTTTTCTCTGCAGTTTTATCACCTGTTTGCATTCTTAGACAACATAGAGGGGTTTTGCCTGCTTTTGAAACTCGTGTATGTGGAATCACATAATAAAGGATTATTTTCTGTCTGGCTCCTTTCCCTCAATGATATTATTTTTTAGATTCATTTATGTTGTTCAGTGTAGCTTCAGTTCACTAATTTTCATTGCTGCATAGTATTCCATTATATAAGTGCAACCCAGTTTGTCTATCTATTCTACCATTAATGGGCATTTGGGCTTGGTTCCAGTTTGAGGCGATTTCAAAGCATGTTGCTGTGAACGCTCGTGTGCAGGCTCGTGGTGCACATGTGACAGCACTCCTGGGTTGTGAAAGTGCAGAGTCAGAGGGCTGTTTGTTCAACTTCCCTGGGCAGTGCCAAACCATTTTCCAAAGTGGTTGTGCTTATACTCCCTCCAGGTTTGACTGAGACTTTCGTTGATTTCTACTTTTTCAACTATAAGCAGCTCATTAAAATTGATCATTGGTGTCATTATTAGTTTGGTATCTGGCATTCTCACTCTACTGGGAAGCTCCGTGGGTGGAGGTTGGGGGCCATGGTTGCTTGCTTATGGAATGAATGGGAAAATAATCATGTCTACTTAATTCTGGATCTCACATTCTAATTTGCCCCTTTTATAAATAGAGAATTTTCAGGAAAGTTTCCCTGACCTGAGGCTCACCTGTTTGAAATTCACCCTGACTGGCCCGACTCTTTCCCACTCTCTGCCACTGGCCTTGTCTGTCCGGAGGAGCTGGGGGTAGATCATCATCATTCTTGCTGATGGCATCAGTGATAAATGAAGTTGATTCTTTCCCCCAGGGCCGAGTTCAGCGGGAAGTAGACCAGTCACTGGCCGCCATGCAGGGCCTGGGTCCCCCGGGGCCTGTTCTGTCCCTGTGCTGGGCTCTCTGTGCTGCTGAGCAGCAGTGGGATAGAACAAAATGGCATTCTGGCCAATCAGGTAGCCGGGGTCACAGGGTCCACTGATGGTTGAGTATCCTATTGCCCTGTGGGTCTCGACCCCTCACAGGGACCCTTACTTGCTCAAAAGGACCTCAGGGCTATAGAGCAGGACACAGCTTTGTTGATTTCCAGGGCTGGGGGAGGAAGGAGAATAGTAGCGAGGAGCTGAGGCTTTGTTCCATTCATCTCCACCGCAGGATCAGCTTCGCCATGGCTCAGCGTCTGGCCCAGGATGGGCCCCATGTCGTGGTCAGCAGCCAGAAGCAGCAGAACGTGGACCTGGCGGTGGCAGCGCTGCAGGAGGAGGGGCTGAGCACTGTGGGCACCATGTGCCACAGGGGAAGGCAGGGACCAGGAGCAGCTGGTGGCCACAGTAAGGGGCCCCGGGGGTGGAAGGACACAGAGAGGAGAGTGTGCAGAACACCCTGCCTGCTCAGCCCTGGGAGGGGTAGGGGCCAGGAGGGGGGCTTGGAGGTCCTGGAAGGCGGTCTGAGGCCACAGCTGCTCGCAGTCTAACCGGGCGGACTTCACTGCTCACGCCGGCTCTCTGGAAAGGGGTCTGTTCATGGGAGGACCTCACTCCTACCCGTCCTGGGAGATCTGTGGTTGAGGAGGGATCTAAAGGGATTTCTCCATCCCCAGTCCCCAGAGGGGTTTCCTTCCCTGAGGCCCTCAGCCCCGGAGAGCCTACCCCTGGGCCTGTCCAGGGCACTTACCTTCACTGAGAGTTTGGTTCTCACAGGAGCCTTGTGACCATTCCTGCTGGAGACGGTATATAATTAGCAAGCTTTTTAAATAAATTTATTTATTTTATTTATTTATTTTTGGCTGTGTTGGGTCTTCATCGCGGCATGCGGGCTTGCTCTAGCTGCAGCGAGCGGGGGCCATTCTTTGTTGTGCTGTGCAGGCTTCTTGTTGCAGAGCATGGGCTCTAGGCATGTGGGCTTCAGTAGTTGTGGTGCGCGGGTTCAGTAGTTGTGGCATGTGGGCTCTAGTAGGATGCAGGCTCAGCAGTTGTGGTGCATGGGCTTAGTTGCTCCATGGCATGTGGGATCTTCCTGCACCAGGGCTCAAACCCGTGTCCCCTGCATTGGTAGATGGATTCTTAACCACTGAGCCACCAGGGAGGCCCCTAATTAGCAAGCTTTGCCTCAATGTCCCATGCACAGGGTTGCTCAGGGAGGACGAGGCCTCCTCAGGCCATCTCCAGGCTCACCCAGCCCTTCATGTCCCCCCCATCCCCCCAGGTCCTGGAGCACTGTGGGGACGTCGACTCCCTGGTGTGCAGCTCAGCGGTCAGCCCCCCCGGTGGGGAGCACCCTGGGCGCCAGTGAGCAGGTGGGGGACAAGGTGAGAGGCTGCCCCTGGGAGTTGGCTGAGGGGTCTGAAGTGCTCCCTCACCAAGACCCTCCTCTCCCCTCCTGACGTTACTGTAAAAGCAGGCACTGACCACGTGCCCCCTGGAATGTGCTGTGATGCTCCTTTCTGGCCTGTGTGCTTTTAAAGCTGGTTCCTACACTCTTTCTGCTCTCTTTTCTCTTCCCGTCCCTTTCGCATGTATTCATTCGGCAAATATTTATCGAGGACTTGCTATGTGCCAGGCCCTGTTCCAAGCTCTGGGGGGTAGAGCTGTGTGATTACGTTTCTGCTTGTGGTAAGAGTCAAGCATAGTAAGGTGTCTGCTCTCTGCCAACAGTTTATGTTTTTCACATCCTTTGGTGGGGACGTACATTGGTGGTCGTGCTCCTCTTTGGTGACCGTACCTGCCACTGAGGTTCTCCACCTTTCCTAGACGAGGGCTTCTCACTGTCCCTCAGATGAATCTGCTGCACCTGTCAAACCTGGACCCTCCCACCAGCTTTCCATGGGCTTGGATGTTCCAACCCACTGCAGTCCACTTAGCCATCCTGCCACCTGGTCCACCAGGATCTGGGACAGACCTCGTAAAATGCCTTGAGGTTCATCTCTGGCTTTGTTATTCTCCTACGACTTCGGTTCTGTTCACTCCTGTGTTTTTTCCCTTAGCCCCTCTGACAGACCACATGGACTGTGATGGGGTCATGTTCTTCCTGTCATTGTTAGCATCCCCCGCTGCCCCAACCACAGGCCAAAGCTGTCCTTCTGCCTCCCCAGCTCTCTGGGTTCTGCTGACATCCTTCTTGGGCTGGTCCCTCCTGTGTATCTGCCCTTGGCCGGATGCCCTTCCCTCCACCCTCAGAAATGGCCTGAAATCCTAGCTCCCTGTGGCCTCCCCAGGCTCTTCAGCTTCCTTAATGTCTCCTAAGCCTCATTTGTGAATCTGTAGCTGGGATTTCATTGCTGACAGTCTCCTAACTCTCCTGAGTCATTTTCCCTTTTAGCGTCTCAGTTCATGGGATCATGACTCTTCTTGGAACTGTTTGAAATCTTCCCTCCTGAAGCTGGGCGCACTAGATGACAGCCTTCTCTGCTGCTCGCCTATTCTCCAAGGGCTTGCTATTCTACAAGTGCTTCTGCACAGCTGGACAGAAATCTTCCCCCCATCACATCTGCCACCACCTCAGAGGGGAAATGCTCACAAAAATGAGTTTCTCTGTTTTCACCCAAATGCGATTTTCAGCAGGTGCCCGGTGAGGAGAATTTCTTCTCGCTCATCTTATCCATGGGCCATCTTGAGCACTTCCTTCAGGCGGACCCCATTCTCTCCAGCTGGCTGGGAAATTTTGAATCTACCTCTCCTCCCATCCACCTCTCCTCCATCCCGTCCCCAAGGACTCTGCAGACTCTCTGCACCCTCCTCAGACTCACAGAGCTCCACAGAAATGCACAGGGCAAGGTATGCAGAAAGGACGCAGTACTTCCATGCCTTCTCCAGGCACAGCTCTCCCCCAATCTCCATGTGTTCACCAGCCCAGAAGCTCTCTGAACCCTGCCCTTTGGGTTTTGATGAAGGCTTCAGTGCATAGGCATGATTGATTAAATCATTGACCACTGGTAATTTTTTTTTTTTTTTTTTTTTGCGGTACGCGGGCCTCTCCCTGTTGTGGCCTCTCCCGTTGCGGAGCACAGGCTCCGGACGCGCAGGCTCAGCGGCCACGGCTCACGGGCCCAGCCGCTCCGTGGCATGTGGGATCTTCCTGGACCGGGGCACGAACCCGTGTCCCCTGCATCAGCAGGCAGACTCTCAACCACTGCGCCACCAGGGAAGCCCGACCACTGGTAATTTTTAAAAATTAATTTTTATTGGTGTATAGTTGCTTTACAATGTTGTGTTAGTTACCATTGTCTATTTATTCAACTTTCAATCCCTCTCCCCTCCCCAGAGGTAAGGGGGATGGGGCTGAAAGTTCCAACCCTCTAATCACATAGTTGGTTCCCCTAGCAACCAGCCCACATCCTTAGGTATTTTCCAAAAGTTACCTATTAACAAACTCAGGTGTAGTTGAAAGGGATTTGTTATGAATATCAAGACACGTTTACCACTTCTATGACTTAGGAAATTCAATGAGGTTTCCCTGGGGTTGGGACTGGTCCAGGCCACACGTTCAGGGCAGGGTGCCACCTGGAGCAGCCTGACTGAGGGCTGTGAAGTGGGGAATCAGAATTTACCAGTGAACCAAGAGCATAAGACTCTGGGGCCGAAGGTTTCAGTCAGTGCAGAGCAGGTTTTACGGGCCTGCAAGAGTTGGGGCCATGGGGGGTGGGCAGTGAGGTGTGCTGAGGAGATGCAGACAGGCAGGGCAGGACAGACTGCTTCAGTGGGAAAGCCAGGCCCAGAGAGGTGACTTGCTGGGGTGTCCCACAACCTTTTAATAGCCAAGGCCATGGGCAGAACCTTGCCATTGGATCTCCAGCTCCAGCCCCAAGACCTTCTCCCACACTCCACAGGGGCTGAGTGCAAAGACAGTGAGGGAAGTTGCTAGGCAGGCCAGGCCAGTGCCCCAGAGGCCTGCAGGGAGACACTGAGGGTGGTGCAGAGGGACCACAGGGGCCCCCAAGGAGAGAGAGGCCGCAGAGAGGGGGTGGGGAACAGCAGGCTGACAGCAGGGTCAGGGCTGCTGACCCCTCACCCTCCTGCAATGAGTAACAGAAGGTGCTGACTTCCTGGGTAGGAGTGGGGAGGGGTGTCACCAAGAAAAAAAAAAGCCCTATTTCTGTACCCTGAGCAGGAGGCAGGGATTTGAGGCCTGGAGAGAAGAGAACTTTGCTTCCAATAAGGCAACGCTCAGAGAGGGGATTTGTGTGTGTGCAGTGCCTGTGTGTGTGTGTGTCTATGGTGGGGAGACCTCAGGGATGGGAAGGGCTGGGGGAGAGTACAGGAGAAAGGGTAAGGGTGCAGAGGGGGGGTTTGCCCTCGATTTATGGCCCTTGCCCCTTCTTCTGTTGAGAAGCGTCTGGAAAAGCCCGCTCCGGGCTCAAGTAGTCCAGAGCCCTGTGGGGTGAGGGTGTGTCCCGAATGGGGGGGAGGGGAGGGGGAGGGGAGGGGGAGGGGGGAGGGCATAGGGAGAATGAGGAGTGGGGCAAAGAGAAGGGCAGGCCCTCTTGTCCACCCCTCACACTGCCCTCACCTCACAGCCTCACAAGAGGACAGGGGTTCCAAGGAAGGCGGCTGCCCGGGTTGGGTGAGGACACGGACTGGACTTTTTGGGTCTCCCCATCCCTTTCCCCCAGAGTCCTCCTCAGGCCAAGTTTCCAGCCAGAGGCTGTGGACTGTGGATAATCAGACACAAGTGCTTCCTTGGAATAAATAACCTCAGTATTTCTTTGGTTCCTGACAGCGCTTGGGGAGGTACTGGGATGCTTTCACCTGGGCTAATAAGTGAAAAACAAAACACCGAGTTTGGCACATGAGAGAGTTCCTGCTGTTTTGCGGGTATTTGTGTGCTGGAAGGCCCCGGGGTGCAGGGCACAGGGGCTAATTCGCTTGTAGCTCCCACAGGCATGGGAGGGGGTTCCTCAGGATGGGTCAGGCTCTGGCACTGGGCGCTTGGCATATCCAACTCTACCTGGGAACATTTTGTCTGTATTTATACATTTCAAGTTAACCTCTTCATCTCTGATCTCTTAAGAAAGATCTGGAAAGAACTATAGGGCAAGGGGGAATTCTAGGGCATCCTGGGATGGCCACAGGTGAGGATTATGATAAACAGGGGTGACGGCATTCCAGCCTGAGGGTTCTCTGTCTTGTGACCCTTGAGGGTCCCCAGTCTTGTTTGGATGTTGGGCCGCCTGGGAATAAAAAGTGGCACCAGAGCCAGACCTTGGCTGTTTTTCTCTTGTTTTTATCCCAGACCACTGTGGTGGTGGGTCCCTTGTCCCACCACAATGCAGCCCTCACCCCTGTGCTGACATCCCTGGCTGCCTCTGCCCGGGTCCCACTTGTGGGGCTGGGCTCACGGGCAGGAGGGCAGCTGGAGGGGCAGTGTCCGGGCAGAGGCTCCTGGTGCTGCACTGGAGCAGAAGGGGTGGTCCCTGGCTGGCCTGAGGCGGTGTCCCTGGGCTGAAGAGTCAAACACATGAGTTTTCGTGGAGGCTGGGTTCTGTGGGGTGAGGTGAGGGCAAAAATAGATGAATGCCTGAGGCTATGCTTGGTCAATGCTGAGCTCACCAGTGAAGATCCTCGGTCAGACTTTACCAAGAAGTTGAATAATCCTTTCATCTAAAGCGAATGGTCCTTTTGGCCAAGTAAGCAGCGGGGCAAACATTAGTTGATTAACAGAATAAATGAAAGATTGAGAATAGGATGGGAATGGAGGACAGAAGTGATCAGGGGAAAGGTTCAGAGCTGAGGCTACAGGCCACAGCGTGCCCTGGGGCTTCCTTACATGTGGGGATGGGACACCGTGTGGAGGCGGTAGAGGGACTGAAGGAGCCATGCTGGGCTGGGCTGTTGTGTATGCCCTGGGTGCCTGGACTCAAGTTTAGAGTTACCGTTGCCTTAGCCATTGAAGGCCAAAAGATGCTGTCCCCTCTGCAGGATGGGTCCCTGCGAATCCCAGTGGGTAAAATGTCTCCCTTTGCTGATCATTTTATCATAAATCTTTGATGTTTTCCAATTGCAACCTGCTCCAGAGAGGTTAATTTGTCTACATACGTGCAGCTTGTAAAAGGCAAGGCTGAAATTTGAATCCCTGTCTGTCTCTCAACCACCCTCCATGACAAAGTGATAGACAGGCTCTGTCAGCCCACTTCTCTCTGCAGGTCTGTCTTAGTTTGGTTTCTCTTGAAAGCAGAGACAAGGGCTTTTGGACAGGAGATGGGAGGAAGCAGGAGTGAGGGAGGGAGTGATGAGTGATCAGGGAAGCGAGGAAAGCCCATACAAAGACTTCCCTGGTGGCGCAGTGGATAAGACTCCATGCTCCCAATGCAGG